GCAAATTGATCACAAAATTCACCCACTTCCTTTTTACCAGTTAATCTTTGTGCTTTTAACTAGGATTGTAACTTCAGATCATTACAGAGAGCTAGACCTTCCTGGATTACAATGTTGACTAATCCACCATAGGTATAGTTTCTGTAAGGGATAGAGATACCATTATTCATATCTCTAAGCTTTTTCCTGATTCTTTCAGCAAAGAAGGTTGGTAAACCATCCACAAATTTTGCTTTCCAGTGCTCATGATTTGCATCACTGAGTTGGAGAACCTTTGCCAAGAATACATCTTTATACCACCGATATCCTATGGTCATAGTTACAATTATTGGGATTATATCTCAGCATGGACATATTCGTTCTTTTATCAAAATTCGAAGCATAAGCATTCTTGGTTCTTCAAGATATGCCCTCAATCAGTTAAGGCTGATTTCCCAAACTGGGTTATACCCTGGTGGGCTATATTTGGCCCTGATCTGGATGTTTTGCCCGAATCAATTAGGCAGTTATACTTGCCATGGCAACAATTTCATCCTCAATTAAAGGGACAGAATAATATTCCTGTAGGGAAATCCACCCTATTGTTCTTTACTGAATTTGGAATCCCTTGGATTTGGAAATGGGATTTTCAATGTGGTTATACCACTGACAAGTTACCAGTCCTTCAGAGGATCTTTTATTACCGATGGTGGTCAGGCATGACTCAAGACCCTATCCAAGCCCTCCTCCATCTTATCAGAAAGAAAACATTGGAATACATGGATAATGTTCCAAAGTTAAATATTCCAGAACCAGAAATCTTTAACCCATTTGAACTTGTTAAAGATATGATCAGAAAGCAACAACCATTAATTACCGAAGCAGATTTAGTGGTTAAATGCATGGATTTTATGAGGAACAAATTTGTTAAATCTTTTGATTCCTCCACACCTACAGTACGAGATGATGCATCCATGGTGTCAGTCTCTAGCCAGACCAGTCAAGACGGTAATCAGTTTTCCTGTCTAGCTGGTTATGCACAAGATCCCAATGAAGATCTTATTTCTGAAGATGAACCCACAGTAGCCGATTACTGGGATTCCCTCACCGGCCACTTGATGGAAAAGATGAATCCACCCAAAAAGTAAAGATTCCTCTTATCTTGCCGACAGAAGAAGACAAAGAACTTTTCCTAAAAGTCTTTGGTTCTACAGTATTTCCTTAATCAGATGTTTACTTTTCATCCGATAAGGAGACAGCACTTAGTGGTGGGCCGACCGACTGCATTATTCAAGCACACGATCCCATGCACTATGCGGACTTCAAAATGATAATTTCAAGTTCATTTCATGTATAAATAGAGGGCAAAGTTTCCCTTCAATGTATCTTTCAATTTTCCTTTCTTTCTCTTGTAATATTTCTCTCTGTACTAGTTTGGAAGTTCAATAAAGAAAAAAGTTTTCTGTAAGTAACATTTTAAGATCTATTAAATGATCATTAACTAATACATTCTTTGAATATATATATATATATATATATATATATATATATATATATAAATTTTTGCGTATCGGATCAGACTCACGGATCAAATCGGATTTTAACAGCTCAATTTGTGAATTACGGACTCAATTTTTTTAAATCCACCACCAATCCATGGATATAATAATCTGATCCGATTCGCACGAATTCGAATTTAATTAAATTCACGGATACACAAATTATTTGTCAACCCCATATTTAATACATGTGTCATATAAAGTGATGGGATGGTGGACGGACCAAGCCGAAACTAACACCAAATCAACCTAAGATGAACCCAACTTTTAGACTGTTTTTCAAACTCGAATTCTTGGGGTTGGGCTCATATTAGGGAGATTGGGTTAGTTACTACCGTCATTCATTCTTTAATAACAGTACTTGACAGTTTGTGTTGATTGGAAGTAGTATTGGTGAGCTATGATGTTTCTTTCTGCTGGATCCAAAAGTTGTTGGACTTACAACGACCCAATTTCGTAGCAGATAAATTATATTGGCAAGAAAAATAAAAATAAAATAAATAGAGACGTTTTCAAATCAATCAAATAAATAAAAAAGAGAGAGAATAAAATAAGAGTTCCAATTTTAAAGAATTTATAAGAATTCTAATTTCTCAAAACAAAAACTAAGAAATAACATGACAAAATAAGAAAAATATATAGCAAAAACAAGGAATATGCACCAAAGAATGGAGAAAAAAAAAAAAAAAAAACAGTAAGGTCCAAACAAAGCCTGAACCCTCTCCTGTATCAAAGAACCGACCTTCTAGCCCTGCATTTCAAAAAAAAAGAATTGTAATTAGACATCCACTTCTTGGATTTCTTACACATTTAGGACATGTTTAGTTCGTGTTTTATTTTTTGTGTTTTATTTTTTGTTTTTGTTTTTGGTCATGTTCTAGTATTGTTTTTGAAAAATATATATATGTTTGCTAAAAAAATATTTTGTTTTATATAGTGGCGAAACTTATTGTAAATATTGACCAAAAATTAAAACACCAATTTGGTATTTTTAAATGTTTCAACACTGTAATAACGGGTACTGTAGTGATGAAGGGTAAAAAAAAAATTTTAAAACTCTTAAATGACATTTTTAAACATCATTATATTTTTCAAACTACCAACATTTTTTTACCAAATATGTTTTAGACGTTACCAAACATGATTACTAAAACTATTTAAAGCACTCTATAATAAAATACTTATTTTTTTTCGAATTAAAAATAAAAACACAAAAACAAAACGCGTGCCAAATAGACCCTTATACATTAAACTATTTAGTAAAATACTACAATTAAACATCTAATGGCAAAATAATAATCTAAATGAAAGTAAAAAATTCGAATATGTTTAATTTTCACTTGATAAATCAAATTGAGAGCATCTAAACTTGAAACAACCATTTGGCATTGTAAATAAATAGAATATGTTCTTCTTATTGTATAAGCAAAAGCATCCATTGACGATATAATCTTTTTAATCTAAGAACATCAATAAATAGAGAAAATGCGATCAAATGAAACAAATGAAAACGATAAAACTTGCAATTTCTTTGTTATAAGTCAAGTTTGAGACATGTTTCCACTAAATATATTGCTAACTTAAATCTTTGGATTAACGCAAGGATATGATTTGAAGCATATCGTAAGATGAAAAAGAACGTTCAAATTAAAGTGGTATTTATCTAGGAGTTCATAATGTCATACCATCCTGAAAAGTGATGTCAAGTAAACGCACGATAAATAATGACATGAATATTCCATAATTCTTTACACAAAAGTGTGGATTTGTATGAAATTTTAGAATTGTACATAATTGTATAGAACACTCTAGAATTTTGACATTTCTTTGTAGCACTCTAGAACCCAATTTTATAATACTCACTATCCGATCCTAGCCATTCACTGTAAGACTTTTAGCCTATAAATGGGATGGGAGCATCTGCCACCACAAGCAACCAAGACATTCTCTTCTCATGTTTTGGATTAACATATCCTAACCAGTTGAGGGATGGTTTTGAATAGATTGTTTAATTGAACTTGATGTATTGGTGTCAAAGATGGATTCAGTACACATTTCCAAATTGTTCATACAGAATATAGATGGGTCTCATCAATCCGTTTGTATAGATAAATCAGTATTCAAATAATCAGAATAAAGATAGAAAAACTAGATTGAGGAATTCTAAATAATAAAATAATTTATTTTTAAAATTTAATTTTCACTTTGGTTGAATTAGATAAAATAATTATATATAAATTGAGAACAATTATTTAGGTTTAAAATGCCCTCAACTTCTTATTCCAAACTACCAATTGTCCTTCTAAAATAAAATAATATCTTAACTCAATAAATTCAGCCAAAATAACTAAATAATTGTATGTCATCTTAAGAACTTTTAATACCAAAGAAAGACAACTAATATGATGGGTTTTATCGGACATCACTTGAGACACAATTGTAGACCAGCAAAGAAACTGATTTCCAATTGTAGTTAACTATAAATAATGTCACAAGTCAATTATTGTTTCATGGTTAGACAGCCTTTTTCAATGGTCCATATAGTTCGTATACCCCATTAACACTGTGGCGGCAAAGGAAAAACACTGGAGAAGATGATAGAAGGATATAATAGTCATATAGACACAGATAATTGTGTCCATCCTATAATGGCATTGGTGGAATGGAATCGTCTCGAAGGGTGGATTTATTAATAATAATATCTTTAATTTACATCACCATCATTTGTCATTTCAAAATAGAGGACGAATTTCTTGAGAGTAAAAGACAAGCACAATCGATACTTTGAGAGTTCTTCATTCTCGAACAATCTAATCCAATGGCAAATTTTTTTTTTTTTTGAATTATATAATTTTAAGAAGGATATTTTAGTATTTTAGAATAAGAACTTGAAAGGTATTTTGAACCTTAAAGAATAATTCTTGATGCATTTTAAATTATTTTGTTTAATTTAATCGAATTAAAAAATAAAATATTAAAATAGATCATTTTGTTATTTAAGACTACTGCAATTTTTCCCAAAAAAAAAATATTTGTAGTAAATGTGCAGTGCTAATGACGAAATGGAATATCATCATACAAGACTTCCTACCAAAATTCTTTTCGTTTTGGCCACAAATATTTTGCTTTTGGCATAGTTGAAATAAAGAAACCAATTAATTTCCGTTTAAACAATCAAAATACACACTAATAAGTTTGTTGCATTAAAACCAGTAATAATCCTTACTAAAAAACAAAGGATTTTCCTCCAGAGATTATGAAGAAATACTGTGCAGAACTTCCAATGTGGCTCATCAACCAGGAGAATATGAAAACGGGAGGGGTTGATCATGAATACTCATCCCCTATCACAGAAATGGAAAACAATGGCACCACTGTAATTTGCACCTCTGAACCGCCACAACGAAAAATAAATGTACAGAACCACTAAATCAGAGCAAATTAAAAGATGACAACCAACTCTTAAGAAAGTATGAAACACAGAAGGACTAATTTGATAAATCCTTGTACCAAACAAAAAGGTCTTCAAACATACGAAACCTTTCACACTTTTGGTTGTTTTAAGCTTACAAATTCACAACTATTCCCACTTTTAAAGTTTAATTTTTCTTAATTTACAGAATGGATGACTGGTAGAGATATGGAAATAACAGCAGACTGAAAACAGTACGACACGCACCACGTCCATCTTCCTTACCTCATCCCAACAAACACGAGTTACTACAGCCAAGAATGAATTGCCTGAGAATAGCCACAGAGCAGGGAACTTTGTCTTAAGGTAGGATGGGCCAATACCTCCAGTCTTGCCTGCACGAGACACCTCTTCCTGTTTGAAAAGTTACTGGAAATATTGATCACCAGGGTGCTTAAAAATCAGTATCAAACATGAGACAACACTAGAGTGGCCCGCGATCCTGCAAAGTTGGGTTTCTCATTTGATGGGAGTAGCCCTATGTGGGGCCTGATTCACCAGCACACTCCCTCTCTCCTGATTAGAACAGTCTCCTCCCCCCTCAGCGACTGCAGACTGTGAATGGTACATCGTTGACAAACCGTGGCTGCTATTGTTGCCATTTGGAAAAGTGTGTGCTTTATGAACCATGGACTCCTCTACTGGCTGATGAGAATTGCCACCAAAGTTGGTGGGCACGTGATCAGAGTTGGCAGATTGTGTTAAGACAGTTGTGCTAGATTTTGGCTCCTCTTCGGATGTGCCATTGTTGATCTTTTTTGTATTAAGAAAACGGCCTCCACAACCCCTTGCTCTTCTCAAAGCATGTTGGTGCCGAGACTCATGAAGATACGGCTTAATTGGTGAAAATAACCGTACATCACACAACAGTTTTTAAATCAGAATAATAGAATAAAATGTGAAAGACATCTGAGAGAAATTTGAGATGGCAAAAGAATATCAGAATCAGGATGGAATGTAAGCTCGCAATTGCCCCCATATGCATATAAATCTAGTATGTCAACTAAATTAGAAAGATGTAACGGGCATCCATTATAAGTGATTAAAAATAAAAATAAAATTTAAACTTTTAGCAACCAAAAAGAAAAAATATATATACACATATATTAGCTATCCCATAACAGAAAGTCCATAAATTATTACCCATCAAATATATTTCCCCGCAAATAACATCTAACATGTTCTCTCTTCATACAGTAATTTGAGCAAATACAAGAAGCGGAGTTATATAAGCTATCCCTAACTGAAAACTCAAAAAAATTCTCTTCATGCTCCCACCTAATTAACACTAAACACCCTAAACCTAACCCCGGCCTTAACAAGGCAAAGATGCAACTTGTGACATCCCACACCGAAACACACTAGTGGGTGGGGGAGCCCCTTGCAGTTTGGTTATAGTTCTTAGATAATTTTTAAGCATATATACACAATCAGGATAAGCATGTACAACTAAACAACTCAACAAAGCTCCACAAAGCTTACTTTAACCATTGGGGGGCTGGCGATATTCCACCTATTGAGGGACTGTATCATCTGTAATGTCTTGAGTACATCCACATACTATGTAACATTTCCATTGTTCTAGAGCCCTTCTGTAAAAGAAAATAAGTGAATATCTGTATTGCCTCTGATGAGCATGCTACCACTCTTTTCTAGTGATTTTCCCCCTTTTCTAAACTTTAATAGCATTCATTTAGCACACTACTCTTGAAGACAAACCTCCCCAGTCCCCCATCTTACCCTATTTGTAATATCATATTCAGCCTTCCCTGATTGCAAATGATTGAACCAAGAGTAAAAAGCCACTGTTGGATATCTCCTGCACACCAAACTTGAATATTTCCATGCATCTGCTTCCTGTTTTACAATGTGAAAGCTAATATAACATTTTGTTGTTTACATTCTACATCTAAATTGTATTTAGAAAGTTCTAATTCAAAATTTCCCCAGTCCACAACTTGAAAATAATTTCCCTGGAATCTAGTTTCGCCAATAAAGAGAACACTGTCAACAAACAACATACAAAAGTAATTACTAAATGGATAGCCTACAAGAGTTACTTTCCCGGGGAAAAAAAAAAGCTCGGACGAGTTCTAAATTTCTAATATTGTAGGGAAATTATAATTTTAAGAATTTATAAATTAAGTTTTGGATCTATTAAGATAGTTAAAAGTGCGAGGGTATTTGGAAATTTATATAAATAAAGAATAAAAATGAGAGAACCCTAAGGCTAAACTTCCCACTATACTTGCCTCTCTCCAGAGATTCTCCAACAATATATATGTTTCCCTCCTCCAACTTGGTAAACATCACAGTTAGAGATTGCCACCTCGGTAACCAAGACCAAATGTACATACCCAATGGTATCATATTGTCACAGTACTCTATGATGAACAACCAACAACAAATCAACAACCAACAGCAAATAACATGAATATGGTGTTAAACCTTGATATAGACTTAAGGCAATTAAAAATCATCATTCTCCCAACAGTTTTAGCATCGCAATTATATCAGTCAGTTATCAGGGCAAGTCATGTATACAAGACTCCATTACCCGAAAGCAGTATAATATCGCCTTAAGGATAAATGACATTTTCTCTCCATATCAACACAAATCTATTCAAGTGTTGTGTCAACTACTGAGGATTGGCTACATGAATCCTGTTTCGTCATTGTACTCCATCCAAAGTCATAATTTCAATTTTAACCATCTCAACCAATGTCAGTTTTGGTCTTCATCTTTCCCTAACAATACCCTCAATGTGGACCATGTCACTCTTCTTCACCAATAAAATTACTGGTCTTCCCTACAATAGTCAAATCATCTTAATCAATAATAACCCATTTTATCTCCAAAGGGTGCCAATTCAACGATCTCATTAATTTACTTATTTATAAAAAAATTTAACCACACATTCATCTCAACAACCACATTTTTGCCTCTCAAATCACAACATTTTTCATAGACAACAAAAATTTGTGCATGCGTATGTAGGGGGAGGGAGGGGGGAAACAGCTTTCTTAGCCTCAATATGTTAGAGACGATATGGAAGAAGTAATTTTACCTTCCTAGCTTTTGTTACTTTCTTTTCCATCTCTGCCTTAGCTCGTGACTGCCTTCGCCTCAAAATTCCATGATACTGCTTTGCATTAACATAAACAGGTTCTTCTTCCATGTCAAGGGGTAAAGGCATTCTACTCTGATGGACTCCTAGTAAATGAGGATGTACCTGACACCATGTCAATTTTATTACAAAAATTGCTTTAGAAAATTCACCTAATGAGAACATTTCCCTATTATAAACGTAATAATATAGTATGAGAAGAATCCAGAATAATGCAGTCACTTCGCGACACGTGTATACACATCATGTTTGCTTCAGTAATCAGATTTTGCAAGAAAACACAGTACTACTTTAAGTATGCGGATAAAAATTGATTAATTACGCAGATATATTCCTAAAAGACGTTGGTCTATACACAGATAAAAAACAGGGGGCATTTATATAAGCTAAATAAAAAGTTGCATATCAATACATGCACAAGAGGCAACTTACTACACTGACTCTAGTGGTAAAGACATCACCTTTAGAGGTGCAACAAGAGTGAGGTTGGAAAATTCAGAAGTGTGGCATAGTTATAGTGAACAAAGAATGAAAGAGAGAGAGAAAAAATCACATCAAAAAGGACAGGGCTCAAAGTTCAAACATGTGCTATAGGCTGTTAACACTAGCACACAGCCACACACGTGTGTGTGTGAGAGAGAGAGAGAGATTTTGCATCCCCACCTGTGCACCATAAGCCATCATTCCCCCATAATGTGGATCTGAATATGGATATGATGTCAATACCTGCAATTTAAAGAGGAGGGGGAGGGGGGGGATTAGAATCCTGGCCATATACCCAAAATCAAGAAAGCACAAGATCCCCAAGGAAATAATGTCTTTTTAAGATATTCTCAGTGCTCAGAACCATATATGAGGGAGAGAGAGAACAACTCTTACAATTGAGTGACCAACGAGTTCCATTTGGGAATTTGGTTCAAGGTGCTCGCCTATTGTTTGTGGTGTTGAAGACGCAACATGCTTGAGATGCTGCTGTTCTCGCCCACCATTTCCATTTAATCCTGAAAGGTTGATCTTCATCAGTATCATTATAAAAAATATGTGAATACATACTGCAGCATAGAAAGCTTTATCAGGAAATGCTAGAGGAGATATGGGATTGAAAGATTTTCCTTATTGCAGAGTGATATAGGTTAGTATGGAAGTTAGAGGTGTGATTGATTATCCAACAAACTTTGAATATCCCACGCATTGGGTTAGAAGCAAAGTATTAGGTAGGGCCGCAGGGTGGTCAGCATTCACCACATATATTTGCTTCATTCTGAGAAATGGCAACGGTCACAGGATGAGGTTTGGAAAGTTATGTGATGCAGTATGAATAGATTCTCAGATCAATCTAAAATTGCCGTGGATATAAAGCATTTGTATGAGGGTGAACTCTAAGAGCCTCCTTTCGAAAGGATTTTCAGTATTGGGAATCAGCACCAGTAGACACTCTTCCCAAGTCGTTGCATGGTTCCCTTTGGCGAAGGGCAGAAATTCTTGGAGGTGGAAAGCCTCAAGTAGAGGAAGAAGGTTAGTCCTTTCTATGCGCAAAGGACGGGGGGGCTCTCAAGCTTTTACGTAGAAGGCCATCTGGTGTAGAAAGATACCTTTTGAGGAAGTTTTTTGAGTTGGCACGTAGCATACAAGAATTTTTTTTAAATATAGACAAGGTGATTTATCCTGTATATTTGTCGTGTATGAAGGGATTCAGCAGAGATTATGAACCATTTGCTGAGTCAATGTGTGCTGGTGAGGGAATTTTGGTATCTCCTCATTTCCTTGTTTAAAATTAAGTGGGTAATACCCAAATCTACATGGGAGTTAAAGTGATGGAGAGGGATTTGTGCTTATTTGAAAGTGTGGGAAAATTTCGCAACAAAAGTCAAGAGTCCGTAGTTTTTGTTTTATTTTTAAAAAAGCTGGTTTAGTTAGTTAGAGACAGAATTTACCTTGGATCTATGGACCATAAAGAGAAATAAATTGAAGATAATTGAAAGGGTTAAAAGACAATTCACCTTTGGAATTACTAACTCGCCTAAATAAATTAAGCTAGGGAAATACAAATTATCAATATAATAGAATTAGTAGTGGAGACTTGAGAACAAGGTTCAAATACTCGGTTGAGATCTAGACAGCATGGCTCAGCCTTATCGGTCTCAGCAGTCCTTGCAACGAGATCGAATTGAAATACATTCAACCAATGTAACATGGACTCTTAAAAAAATGCATGAAGTATCATGTATTTGTGTCGAGCACAGGACACTTGGACGTGTGTAGCGGATGTTTGTTCGACACATATAAACTAATAAGCAATAATTCAAAAAATTCAAAATTATTATAGAAACTATACATAAAACACTTTTATCATGTTCCGTTCACTTGAAAAAAATGAAAACATTATTTCACTCCAGGAATAAAAATATATATATTAATTAATAGTGTTTTTGGTTTTGGGAATTTGATAAATCCAATGTTTAAATACCTGCAGCCGACACCCATACCCACGTCCATTTAGTACAACATTTAAAAAAAAAAGAAGAAGAAGAAGAAGAAGAAAGAGGTATGTGTTTTTTTTATATTATATTTCTGAAATAGATTAATACATAAAGCCATGCACATGTTTGTGATGCATATATGTTCATTAATAAAAATAAGTATACCATATTTGTATTTTTAAATAGCTTTGAATATGTAAGAATCATATTTGTAATTTTGTACACCAACGGGCATTAGCCCAAATGGTTTGCTCTCCTCCCCAAAGGGGAGGCCAAGAGTTCAAGCTGTGGTAGGGACAATATATTGTGGGTATGTGTGCGTTGGCTTTAACTTTTCGGAAAATATATATATTTAAAAATCAACTCACATATAATTTTGTAGCAGACTAGGCCGATAGCACATATGCTGATCCTTCAGATAAATCATAAAACTATACATGCTAGACAGTGTATCTTGTTCATTTCATGGTTCTGTTTACTTGGTCTTAGTTATCTAATTTTTCCGTATTCTTTATAGGAATTTTCCAGCCTTAAAAGTACTGGACTGTTCAGTAGTATTTAGTTTTTAATTTAATAAGTAAATCAAACTTCTTTTTGAATTATCACAAGGCTTGCTTGTCAAGCTATGAACCTATGAAGCTGCCAGCAACCTAAAAGTTCCAAGTCAAAAAGCCACTTTACTGGGCTCCAACTATAATCAACTTGCAGAATTCATGAATTTTGAATTGTTGATTTGAGTCATAAACTTTGATTCTAGTTGGTGATTTAATTTAGTTTGAGGATCTGCCATTTAACTTTCAAATTGAATAATTTTGTCCAAGTACTTTTGTTTTAAAATTCAGGTAATTTGTGAGTCATTTAAAAACTTAATGCTTTTTTAGTCACTCTATTAGGTTTTACGAGACAGAGAGATAGCCCATTAGATTTTTAAAAAGGTATGAAATAGCACTCTTGCAAACCTGCTAGGGCAATCCTGGGTCTCAAAAAGGTTGTTCCAGCTTATAAATAGTAACTATTCGAGCAATACTTATGAAATTCCAGTATGCTACAGCAGCCTTTTCCCTCTTTCTTTCCCTTTTGATCTAGACAGCAACTTTTTGAGTATTATTTATGGCATTTAAGCTAAAGTTTTAGCTTAAACTAACTGCTGCTTTTTTTTCTTTTCTTTTTCTTTCTTAACCTAATTTGTTTTACTTTTTGTATGCGCATTGCATCACAATTTTAACTTCTCAACCAAGAACACTAAATTAAGCCCTCAACCACCATACCGTAATTGTACCCACCCCTATTTCCTTGCCCAAGTCTCCATCCTACATGATTTTTTGGCATCAGACTAAAATTTCTTAGCTCAAAAGTTCATACAATTAAGGAGAAGTACAGTTTACGAAGCTATATGTTTCAATCACCATTCCAAGAGGCTTCAATCAACCTCACCTCCAATAGTCTTAAGTTCTCTGCCACAGAGAAAAAAAATTGCTCGATGTGAAGGGGTAATCACTAGAAGAGAAGAAGCAATCACAACATTAGCCTGCCTATTCATTAATATATCAAAAATTCTTGAAGGGTCAAGAGAAGTGTAAACTTGATTGAGTGGATGACCTAGTCAGGAAATGCATTGTGGTGTGGGTGGATAAGTAAAGGCCCAGAGTTTTTTTATAAAAAAATAAAACAAGAGCACAACGTACAACGTATGTTTTGATGATTTCTGCAGCAATGCTTCCTTAAATGTCTTGTGCCCACAAAAATCATTTTGTTCCTTATTCTATGCCCAAGAATACGATGTTCACTTAGCGAAGGCAAAACTAAAAGGAATAAAGTGTTTATGGTGGCATAAAAGTTAAAAACCAACTTCATAAAACTGATCAATGATTTATGAACACGTAACTGAGACGAAGTTAGAGATGAAAGAAAGCATTCTCCCTCTCAATCGTAAAATAAACCTTCCACCATAATAAGATGCTCTCTCCCAAAAATGGTATTAAAACAACTTAAGGGGCAGCACTCGAAAAGTTGTTTCTGTGGCTACTCACAATGCTAATGTAGGCAAAGCATCCACACAATACTAGTACCAAACTGTTTGCAGCAAGAAGATGATGAGAAAAATAAAGAAACTATGTCAAAAAATCTGATTATGTTGATGAAAAAGAACGAAAATTAGTCTTGAATGAAAAATGATACAGAGACAATGTCATCCTTGCTTTGGGAAATGGTAGGGCCAATGGGTAAAAATGTCCTTGCTGCTTTTCAAATTCAATAAATAAGTATTGCACAATGAGCTTCTGCTAAAGCATGACACGTGCTATTGATATGGTGCCAAGTGCAACTTAAACTTATGTTACTAGAATTTCTCTTAAATCTGACAATGCATATTAAATAAGTAGTTTAACGATTTACTCTGCATCTCAAACTCCTTAATTATCTCCAAGTGTTCACATTGAATTTGATTTACTCAACAAGAAATGAGATTAAATATGAAGTTACAGTTTGTCAAAAGGTTTTACTTCTGCAATAACAATCAGAATTGAGGAAAAGCGCCACTATAGTACTACTACAGTGATGCTACTTTTATTACTACACATGCTTTTTTCTTTTTTGCCGATTTTGGAGGAGAATATGCCGATTTATTATGTGGATCAGCTTTATTTAATAGTACTCGACTATGTTTGTCAAGGACAACTTTACAGAAAGGTAAAAGGAGAAGAGTCCACAATCCACATGGGTACATGGGTAGCTCTTGTATGCACTGATGACACACTACGCTAGTATCACATGATCAGTGAACTTCTTGAATGAAGTTTGATTGAATTCAAATGATTCCAACTCCTGTGGAACTGAAAAATCAGATTATTCATAACTAAGGCATTTGGTAATTTTTTCTTTTCTTTTTTTTTTTTTGATTATAAATTTTTTGACTTTTTTTATGGGTGAAATTAGTGAAGTCTTGGTTAATGTAGGAAATCCTTTGTCTGGTAGGAGACTGAGTTCCTAAATTAGCACTTGGCTATGCTTCTATAGAAATTAAAAATCAAGCTTAACATAGTCTGTAAGACTAAATAAAGCATAACTGTATAAGGAATTGGCATAAGGCTTTAAATCATTCAATTAACTAAATCAGGTATTATTTTATACCAATCAACCATACAGTAGTAGTTCATTTCAATATTAATACTATAAGAAGCAGATAAGCTGAAATTTTGACTCTAAACAGAGAGCAAGCAGAAATAGATTAGTTAAGCCAGGCAAAAATATTCAATTGAGCCAATTTCAATTTAGTTCAAATGCAGGAAATTATACAGCCAAAAACAATAAAATCTCATTATTCCTTCTAGATTCAAGCTATAAAAGGTCAATCAACAAGACAAATCAGAGATAACGTTAACCTCGTCAATGTCATAACGCAAAGAATATTGAAGATAAAAGATAAAAACTAGTTTAAAAAATTTAAATACTGGTTACTTTCTTGTTCAAATGATTGATATATGGATATTTTCATCTTATGCAACAAGTTGAAGGAAAATATACCAGATTGTGGAGCTACGGTATTTTGTGCTTCTTTGTTCATACCATCGCCATTAGCTTGTGATTGGATAGCTCCATTTGTAACAGAACCATTAAGGTTTTCCACTGGAGAAGACATTGCATTGTTTCCAACGCCATGCCACCAAGGTTGGTAATAGAATGTCGATCGTGGAATGCTCTGTCCTCCACTTTCTAACTGCCGATCTTCATTTTTGGGCTTTGTTGGCATTATTCTCAACTATTCTCAAAAAATTAATCAGTGACCTAATCCCAGAGTATCCTGTACAAACTAACATATAGGAAAAGTTACAAGGAAAGAAAATATTGTGAAGCATCTCAATATATTAACAACTATACCACGTTGGTATGAAATATCAAAAATTTATATTTTTGGGATGCGTTCCCCTTTTGAACGCTTTCTAATACAGTATTACTTATCAAAATATATAAGGCTGGGAGCGAGTAGATTTGTGGAGGGGAGGAGTTCAAGTACCATCTAGTTTGCTGGGAGCAGGTTTGCAGTCCAATCCGGGATGGAGGTTTGGGTTTTAGAAGATTGGTGCCTTTTAATAAGGCTCTTCTTGGGAAATGACTTTGGAGGTTTGGGGTGGAGAGGCATAGGCTTTGGAGAAGGGTGGTACCGTGGTAGCGAGTAGATTTGGGGAGGAGAGAGGAGGGTGGTGTTCTCTTGAGGGACATTTTCCACGGGGTGTGGGGGTTTGGAAAATCATTCGGAAGAGGTGGGGTAGTTTCTCTAAACACATTAGGTTTCAACTCAAGGATGGTAGGAGGATCAGTTTTTAGGAGGACGTTTGGTGTGGTGATCACTCTCTTGCTCTTGCTTTCCCCAAGGTCTTCAGGATTGCCACGGATAGGCAGGCCACGGTGGTCAACTGTTATCGGCTTGATAGCGGGAGATCGTCTTGGGATGTTCGTTTCAAGAGGCACTTTCAGGATTCGGTAATTGAGGATGCCATTGGTTTTTTGGAGGAGTTGTATCGTTAGGAGATCACGGGTGGTGTTTTTGATGTTGGTTTTGGGTCCCTGCTTCTCAGGGTCAGTTTGATGTTTGGTCCTTCTATAGGTGTCTTACAGAGGAGTATCGGGCTTCCTTCCCGTGGAAGGCTGTTTGGCGATCTAGGGCTCCCCATAAGGTGGGCTTCTTTGCTTGGACATCTATTTTGGGTAAGATTTTGACACAGGATAATTTGAGGAAAATCAATCAGGTTGGGGTCAAATTGTTGTTGCATGTGTCTTCGTGATGAGGAGACAGTGGATCACCTCCTTTTGCATTGCACCATAGCTAAAGGTTGTTGGGATTTGATGCTTGGTTTGTTTGGAGTTCTGTGAGTCTTGCCCAAATCCTCTAGAGGGCTGATTGAGGCTTGGAGAGGTTGTATAGTGGGGGCCCAAGTCCGGGATGTTTGGAAGGTTACGCCTTTATGTGTCTGGTGGTGTATTTGGTTCGAGAGGAACAAGAGATCTTTCGAAAGAAAGGAGAATTCTATTTCTATGCTTAAGTTCTCTATTATTTCTATTCTTTTTTGTTGGGTTGTAGGGAGATATTTTAGATCTTTTGAGGAGATTGTCGATTTTTTGGTCTCTTTGAATGTCTAGAGGTCCTATTTGGCCTTGTGTAGTTCTCTTGGGATGCACTCCCCTTTTGAGTGCTTTTATACATTTTTTTTTTTTTTTTATAAGTCAAATATATAAAAACCGCTCAAAAGGGGAGCGGATCCCAAACATACAAAAAGGCCGAACAAAAAACAACTCAAGCCTTCAAAGAGGCTAAAAAAAGAACAATCTCCTTAATAGATCTATAATCTCTCTCCGAAACCCAACAAAAAAGAGTAGAAATAATGGAGAATTTAAGCATAGCAATAGGCTTCTCCTTTCCGTCAAAATATCTTCTATTCCTCTCAAGCCAAATGCACCACCAAATACAGAGAGACGTAGCCCTCCAAGCATCCCGAATGAGAGCCCCAACTGAGAAACCTCTCCAAGCCTCAATCAATCCTCTAGAGGAATAAGGCATAACCCAAGGAACCCCAAACAAACCAAGCATCAAATCCCAACAAGCTCTAGCCATGTTGCAATGTAACAAAAGGTGATCAACTGTCTCCTCATCGCAAAGGCACAAGTAAAAATGATTGACCACCACCTGATTCCTCCTCCTCAAATTATCCTGGGTTAAAATCCTACCCAAGACAAAAGTCCTAGCAAAGAATGCCACCTTAAGGGGAGCCTTAGAGCGCCAAATAGATCTCCAAGGGAAAGGACCACCATCACCAATCGTAAGGCACCTAAAAAAGGACCTCACCTTAAACCGAACCTGAGAATTAGGATTCCAAAGCCAACAATCAAACTCCCCATGAGAAATCACCTGACGATACAGTAACTCCAAAAAACGAGTGACCTCCTCAATCTTTCAATTCTGAAAGTGCCTCCTAAACTGAACATCCCAAGACAGTCTTCCGTTATTAAGATGATAACAATCAACCACCAAGGCCTGCCTAACGGAAGCAATCCTGAAAAGCCGTGGGAAAGAAAGAGCCAGGGGAATCTCCCCACACCAAGTATCCTCCCAAAATCTGATCCTCCTACCATCCCTAATCCGAAAACGAATATGTTTGCAAAAATCATCCCACCCCTTCCGAATGACAGTCCAAACTCCCACTCCCCTAGGACCACGCACCTCAAGAGAGCTCCACCCACCACTACTCTCCCCAAATTTGCTCGCAATAACTCTCCTCCAGAGCCACTGCCTCTCAACCCCAAACCTCCAAAGCCATTTCCCAAGGAGAGCCTTATTGAAGGCCAACAACCTTCAAATAACTAAGCCACCACTCCGAATTGGGCAACACACTTGCTCCCATCGAACCTGATGATACTTGAACTCCTCATCCCTCCCCCCAACCCTAAAAAAAAAGGAAATTGCGCTGCAATCTCTCAATTCTCTTAGCCACAGAGGAAGGAATCTGAAAGAGCGAGATGAAATAAGTGGGAAGACAAGAAAGGGTACTCTTAATCAGAGCGCACCCCCCCCCCCCCCCCCCCCGGGCGCCCGCGGAGAGGAATTGCTTCTTTCAACCTGCCAGCCTCTTCTCAAATCTGTCCACAATTGGATCCCAGCTCCCCACGCATCTCGACGGGGCTCCCAAAGGCAATCCTAAATAAGAAATAGGGAATGACCCAGTGCGACAACCAAGAATCTGAGCAAACCTCTCAATATAAAGAACATCCCCAACCGACTAAGACACTCTTACCGACATTCACCTTGAGCCCCGAAACAACTTGGAACCAAACCAAAACGCATCTCAAATGTCTTAATTAGGACTCGTCAGCATCACAAAGAACAAGAGTATCATCCGCAAACATCAAGTGAGAGATCTCAATATGACTGGCAACATTCCTGCCCACCCGAAAACCACTCAAGAGACCCAACTCAACAGCCCTTTTCAATAGTCTGCTAAACGCCTCCATCACAAAAAGGAATAGGAAAGGAGAAAGCGGATCCCCCTATCTCAAACCCCTCGAGCTAGAGAAAAAACCCGACGGAGCACCATTCACAAGAACAGAAAAACAAACACTAGAAATGCAAAAAAGAATCCATTTCCTCCATCTCCCCCCAAACCCCATCCTTTCCATCAAGTAGATAAGGAAACTCCAACTCACATGGTCATACGCCTTTTCAATGTCCAACTTGCACAAAACGCCCGAAACTCCACTGTTTAATCTGGAGTCCACACATTCACTGGCAATAAGAACAGAATTCAAAATCTGACGACCTCCCACAAAAGCATTCTGAGAATCTGAAATGACACCATCCAAAACCTTCCACAACCTAGAGGCCAAGACTTTGGCAATCAACTTATAAAAGCAACTCACCAAGCTAATGGGGCGAAAATCTTTAACATCAAGCGCCCCTCCCTTTTTCGGAATGAGGGCAATGAAAGTGGCATTCAAACTCTTCTCAAAAGAGCCCTGAGCATGGAAAGCGTGAAAAAGAGCCCATCACCTCCTCACGGACCACCTCCCAACACTCCAAAAGGAATCTCATGGAAAAACCATCAGGGCCCAAGATTTATCCCCGTTACAGCTCTTCAGAAAAAGGCTCCTTTGGAGTAGAGCACTCATCACTCGAAATAGAATCAAAATGAAGCCCTGAAAGCAACGGTCTCCAACTGACTGGTTCGGTGAACAACAAAGAAAAGAAATCAACAAAACCCTTACCAATCTCCTCCTCCTTACTCACAACCTCCCCATCCACCTGAATCCTCCCAATGTGATTGGCCCTTCTATGAGCGTTGGCAAGATGATGAAATTTTTTTGTGTTATTGTCACCTTCCTTGAGTCACAAAGCTCTAGATTTTTGCCTCCACGAGATCTCCTCCATGATAGCAATCTCATTAAACTCCGCATGACACTCCACCCTCCTAAGTTTAAAGGAATCCGTCAAAAACCCCTGCCCCTCCAATCTATCAATATCTGCAATCTCAGAGAAAACCCGATTCTTCCTCCAAACCAGATTTCCGAAGACCTCCTTGTTCCAAACTTTCAGATCATTCTTAAAAAAACGCAGCTTACCTGCGAGGGAATGACTTGGGGAACCAACCACTCCATACCCCACCCACCAGGATCAAACTCGCTCCAGAAAACCCTCAGCCCAAAGCCACATATTCTCAAATCTGAATGGGGATCTTCGACTACGCAACCCACCACAATCCAAAATCAATGGAACATGGTCAGATAATGGACGAGCTAAAGTGGCCTGAACAACATTTGAAAAATGTTCCTCCCAATCACTCGACACAGGGAACCTGTCAAGTCGAGAGAGAGGAGGAGGAGAGCGACCACTAAACCAAGTAAAGGGCCCACCAACCAAAGGTAAATCAATCAACCTAAAAACATCAATGAACTCCGAAAAAGACTCCATCTCAGCCGTCCACCTGCCCCCCGAAGATCTCTCAAAAGGAGATCGCACAACATTGAAATCCCCTCCAATACACCAAGGCAACAACCATCTCCTTCGAACCTCACCCAGCTCATCCCAAAGCAAATGACGAACACTATCCTCTGTAGGACCATAAATACAAGAAAAAACCCACCAAAAATCATCCTCCCTTATAGAGAAGATACATGAAGTAGAGAAAATCCCAACCTGAGACTCCAACATAGAAACCCAAAGCACATAAATCTCCCCCCCCCCCCAAAAAAAAAAAAAAAACACACCACGCACAATCAAATCCGTCATCTACGCAATTTTTGTTTCTAGAAGACACACAATATGCCCATTCCCTTTCCGAATCACCGACTTCACCACTTTTCTTCGAACATTCCATGAAAGAATTTGTAACTTCATAAGGAAACAATTGGGTTAACATTCTCTCCCCTCCCTCCACAATCCCTCTCCCTAGATCCCTTATTTCTCCTTTCATAAGTGACAAGAGTCGTTGGGCTCAAAAGCCCCCTCTCATCCACCCCCATTGGATAGCCTCCTCTACTCCCCCTACACCCCATTTTCTCCATGTGCTGAGAATTAAGAACTTCAAGAAACAAATTTGTCGCCTCCTCCATACAACCGTCGAAAAAAACTCCCAACCGAGAGCCCACCTTAACCCCCTTTTCTCTCAACCAAACATCTTCCACATCAGCCACTCCTATAGCAAAACCATCCCCATCCGCCCCCTCCTCATCAGGTCTAACAACAGCTAAAGGAGTAACGAAATCAAAATCAATGTCTCCCCCATTCCAATGAACAAACCCCAATTCCTCAAGGAGAGAAGAACACAACACATCCTCTCCCTCCTCGGGAACCGACGAACATGGTGAGCTGTTAGCAAGAGGAGTTCCACAAACCATTGCAGCCACAGGATCACTCGGCTCACTTTGAAGGCCTTTCAAGACTAAATGAGACCGCAAATCACTCAACAACACAGCAACAGTAGCGTCATCCAGACAAATCTTAACATCCCTGCCCACACACACTGTGATGCTCTCCTCTTTTTGAACAACAAATCTTGAGGGGCCCAACCCATCAACCAGAGAACCCCCATCCATCACCTTCAGTCCGCTCTCCAACTCATTCTCTAAAAACACGGCCAAGTCTCTGGAAGTCGAGCCCTTCAACGACTCTCCAGGAGAGAGAAGAGGTGGAACAAAAGAGGAAAACGACGGCGAAGCGCAATGCAAAGAAACATTCTTACCCGGATCAAAGGCAACACAAGGAACCCATTTTTGCTTTTCCTTACGAGTCCACCTTCTACGAATGGCCTAGAGAATGATTCGCTTCTTTGATCGCAGACGGTGTCCTTGTGCAGGCAACAAAACTCGTCGTCTCTCTTTGAGCGATGGCGCACCAGGCAACTGAGATGGATCAATCAAAGAGAGCGGAGCAAACCGGTTGTTCACCACAAGATCAGAACAAGACAGCCTAGAAACAACCGGCTCGGAGCCTGGCCCAATCAACAATCCACAGCCTAGCTCTGCAGAAGAAACTTTTGTGCACCCAGACACCTTATATTGCCACCTTACCTTTATCCAGCCCACACAAAACATAGTTATGCACTTTATTGAAATTAGGCCCAAAAACGGGAAAATTGCCAAAACTATTCTCCACCATGATCCCATTTGCTGGCCCAATACCAAGCCCATCTTCTACCGAACCCATCTTAGCCTTCCTCGTCCATTTGAAATGATTCAAATTAGAGACAGCTGGAAACCACTTTGAACGACTCTCTCCCCTGCGCCAACCACGTGGATGATCACCTCTGCTCCCCCACCCATGCGCTGGATGCGCGTGCACCACACCCTGAAAAACGCCTGACGGCCAAATCCCAAACCTCCACCCCTCTGTAAGTCCCGCCGACCAAAGTTCCGGCCACCAACCATCGAAGACACAGAACTCACCCTCCTTTGCTGAGTGAAAATCCTTCTGAAACAAGCTGTGTTCCGTTCCCAAAGCTTATCCCTCCACTCCTTCCATCTCTGAAATTCCTCCATCCCTTTCTTACCCATGTATTCCCATCTCAACCACTCCTCCTCCTTAAACAGGTGAGACCCATCTCCCCCTTCCAAACTGGCAGTCGTCGGAACGAGCTGAGGATGAGTCTTTTCCCAAACAGCAACCTTGTAACAAAAACGATCGTCATGAACAAAAATGAACGGCAGGCAAGCACAGCCGTCTGAAACAGTGATGCGAACTTTCTTAGCATCAATAGATTCATCAGCGTCAACCCAAATGAAACCTCCACACAAATCCCCAACCGTCACGAAGAGAGCATGGTTCCGCTGGTGAAGAGGAAGGCCGTACAGGGTTACCTTCTTCAGCCCTTGCTTTTTCAACACCTCAGAGCATCCCACCTTAAAATTCCATGAATCCAAGTGAAGAGAAGCCTTTCCCCGGTCACGACATCCCTTGTTAAGCACTCTCTTGCCTCCGCCTTAGAAGGAAAGCGAAAAAGAAGTAAAGAATCTGGCAGGGGCGCCATAACTACCGCCTGCGAGACTTTCCAAACACGTTAAGCCCAAGCTGCAATCTGAGCACAATCACCAACATCTTTATCGAAACTTCCCACCAAACATGATTTCAGATCATCTCTTCTCTTACTGACCGAGTCATCATCCAAGAAAATAGAAAACCCTCTGTACGTAGAAGCAGATCTTGCGAACCCACCCTGAAACAATCGTGGAAGACGAGCCACCTCCAAGAAAGACCGCATAACAAGAGAGAAAAAAGAAAAGCCAAGGAAAGTAGCAGAGGATTTCACCGGAATAGATGATTCTGGTGACTGGTCGGAGCAGTAAGCTCAGGCCGCGTCTCTGTTACGAGGAGATTTCTCTCTCATCAATTTCCCAAACATAAAATTTACATTGGGATTTCAATTGATGAATGTGGATTTGCCGCATAACATGAAAACTACTTTTATACAATTTTACTTAAAATAAAAAAATAAAAAAAATTATATATATAAATATATATACACACACACAAAATTTCTACGTATAAGACCACCAGCACTACAAACAGCCATCCAAATAAAGAAAATTATCACATGCCAAATTTGTAATAGGCAGTACCATTCACACTCAACTTTTAACTTCTGGCAATCAACAATGCTTAGAAACTTGGAACTAGATTGGAAAATAATGTGTGTAAAGCTCTATTGGAGCATGAACAAGCTACACAATAACAACCCATAAAACATGGACCCATAACCAAAACCAAAACCAAATATAGGAGATAGGTCTATATGATGAATAAAGCCAAAAAAAAACTAGTGGGAATAAAATCTTCTTCTTTTTTCCTCCCAAAGTTCAAGCAAACGCATGCACACCCAAAATATTGCCCCTAGTAGGACTCAAACACTCAACCTCCCTTTTTGGGAGAAAAGAAAACACCATCTGGGCAAATGCCCATAGGTAGTAATAACAACATCGAACCTCCCAAGAACTTTAAAACCTCTCCCAGCAAGGCAAGCCATGAAGTAAATCACTGAATCCGAAAAGTTTTCAACCAAATATATATATATATATATATATATATATATATATATTCCAGGGAAAATTTGCCCAGGCATCAACAATCTTTAGCATAGTTATAAATAAACAATTGACAAGTTCTCTCAAAGCTTAACAGTATATTATTCATCGAGATTTAAACAATTCTGGTAAGATATAAGAATCTCTTGCGACAAACTGAGCCGAAATATAGAATGGACACTGTGCAACGCTGACTAAACAGCCTAAGCACACAATACAATTAATATACGATGATCACATATACATGCTAATAAATGATTTTGTAAAATAACTACACAAAGAACAGAGCTAAAACAAAAAACTAAAACAACATAATACTGTAAATATAAAAAATAAAAAAACACTTAATATCCAACTTGCGTATCTAATCTGACTACATAGGCTGTTCAACGTATATGTGCGCGTGTAATGTTCAGTCAAAAAACCTGAAAGTTTATATTATTTTTAAATCCCTATACACTACAAGTCGGGTTTTGTTGTGTACAGGTGTCGTCATTCTCGTCATCCAAACAATGAAAAAGGAAAGATGTAAGGTTCAAAAAATTAAAAATTAAAAATTAAAAAATTAAAATTCCTTTTCTTGAATTACACTTCTTCGCAGAAAACAAAGGAAGCTTACAGAGAAATTTCCCCAATATAATAGCAACGGAAGAAGAAATCATAATCATATTCATACTCAAATTGCATAAGAAAGGTTTTATGGAAACCCTAACCCTAATCGATATATACGAAGAAAAATTCGAAACGATAAAGACTTACTTGGCTTGTGGGGGTTGAAAGCAGTGGGTGAAACCCTAAACGCTCTGTTCCAATTGATTCAAAACCATTAATTCCATTTTCTGAGCAAAGGCAGCGATTGATGACAGAGAACGAGACAAAAGAACATATATATGTAGTATTATATAGAGAGAGGGTTGTAATTAATGTGGAGTATGAGAAATGTGTTTATTAATTTCTTGTATATATTTTAATTTATTTTATATTTTATTAGACTACTACACGCCAATGTCGCTCTCTATGTCTATGTTAAGGAAAATATGGCATAAATAATTAAAAATATTTGTATTAAAAATGGGAAAATGGAAATTTTTGAGCGGTCACAAAAATAGCCTTCTTCTTTAGTGGTTATGGCCATTGTGTCCTTTCTTCTTTGCTTTGTACTTCTGCTGTGATCTAAAACATAAGCAATGTTTTTATGATAAACACCGAATATTGCATATTCAAGCGTCCTTTTTTACATTAGTTAAGTCCATTAGTTGATCATACTGTATATATTAGCTTCATTTGCATGTTTTTGTTTACTTTCAGGTAAAGATAGTTAAAAATGAGGCTTTGTTGAGTTCTTGAAGAATCAAAGCATGTCGTTACCGGTAACCTTCATTTTGCCCAAGTCAGTGACCTATTGAATTCATGGTTATCCCTGCAAAAAGCACTAAAGAGGATGATGGCGTCATCGGGCCTAGCAAAGATCAGATCATGAAGCAAAGTGGTGCAAGGTTGTAGCATTGCGGGCGCCCGCTAAATAAGGCAAAAAGATTGCAAAAATGCGGGGCCCAGCCATGAGATGAGGGCCCCCGCCGTGTGCCGCCACCAAGCAACCATGACACCATGCGGGCGCCCGCCATTTTGCAGATAATAGGCCACCAACTACTTTGTTTCACACAATGTTGTCCCCTTGACCCAATGTGTGGTTCTGCAATCTTCTAGGGATGGTGAGCCACAAAATTAGAGTGGTTGGGGGGCTATCTTTGATATATAGAAGGCTTGTATGGTTGTAAAAAGAGATATCTCAATTTTTGTAAGGTTTTTAGAGAGAGAAATATTGGGTTCAAGAAGGTTTGTGTTATTATTGGCCTCTAGGTGCGAAAATGGAAGGGTTGGCCATCTCTATTCCTTCCTCCCATGCTTCTATGGGTAACTAACTCCCTTTCTAGGGAGGTGATGAAACTCTTCCTTGTAAGCATGCCTTAGTTTTGGTTCAATTTGGGGAATGATGTATATTTATAGTAGTTTCATAATCTAGAGCTTTGCACTTGATGTAATGGACCTAAATTTCTATAAATGATCATATTGAATCTATTATCTTACCTTAGATTGTATGTTTTCATGGTTGTATGGTTTGCATTTTCATAGTAAGAATGGAAATGAGATTGTGAAATGGTTTTAATGGCATGTTGCTTAAGAAGCTTGATAGTTCATGGCTTAGGTCCTTCCTTTGATGGTCTATTTTTTATTTTTAACTTCATGTGTTTTTATCATTTGATTAAGGGTTTGATAATCTCTAACTTAGTGAGTATGTCTAAGGTTACACCCTAGTTTAGGTAGTTAAAGCATGTAAAACTTTGATAAGTTATTCTTGCCTCTTGATTTCATGAATTTCTTGAAGATAATGTAACAACCATATATTGCTACATATTAGGGCCACTTATATATGTTGTTTCCCCAAGTTAATCATAATCTAGCATGTTTATATGGTAGGTAGTGGATTTACTTTCCTAGTCCTCTCTACCTAATTCTCTTTCCTTTTAATCTCCTTCAATTTATTGTTTTATGCAATTTTAAATTATAGTTTATAAGTGACAAACAAAACCCAACTTTACACCTCTTTCATCAAACTAAAAGTGATTTTAAAGACCTTGGTTGCCATAAACTAGCAGTCCTTGTGGTTCGACTTACCCCTACGATAGCCCTATTTTACAATGATTTGTGCTATTGTAAGGATTAATTATAATTGGTAGACATTCATCAACCAACCACTTTAGAGTGTGTTCAACACTATTTCAAAGCTGGTTAGATAATGTAAATTTGTTATAAGATTTTTAGAAACAAAAATATAAAAACATATTTGGTAAAAAGTATTGCAAGTTTGAAAATTTAAATTGCTAATTAAAAATATTATTTTAGATTTTTTTTAAAAAGTGTTTTGATACGATGCAGAAACAAACAAAAATATCATTTTGATACTTCTGATTTTGGCTTCAATTTTGAAAGCGCTTCGGTACATTCAAATGACGGTAAACATTATCAAATATGCTTCGTGCTTTTACTTCGCTAAAATACATTAGCAAAAACAAAAAATACTAAACAAAAACATTAGTCAAACGGGCCCAAACTTTGAAATAATTTTTTTTTTAATTTTAAATCTAAATCGTCGATTCAATTAAATGCTCTCAAATGTAATATTAGAGGCCATCAATTGAATTAATTTGAATATGAAGTAATTCAAAATTGATAAAACATTTAGCCCTAACTTCAATTAAATGAGGATGTTTTTTGCAATTATGTGAGGATATATACTCTTTTTTTTTTTCGTAAGGCGTGTGAATATATATTTGTGAATTTATTCTTTATAATAATATTATATTTGATTTTACAAACTATGAAATTGCTATTTTAAAATTGAAAAAAAATTAATTCAAATTTTAAGCTAATTTTTTGACCAATTCGAATTTCAAATCACCAATTCCAGCAGCTCAATATAATATAAAATTATAAAGTAAAAAAAGTTTAACTGATTGAAATGAAAACATGTTACCATAATTTTGTTTAACCCCAATTGAGACTTGGCAGTTGGACCAAATTGACCCATATGTAATTAAAGGTTTCGTCAAATTAAAAACAGCATCAAAATTTCCAATATAGACTTTACCATATTTAGGGATGGCAACGGGGCGGGTTTGGAGCGGGTTTCCCTAAATCCCGCCCCGCCCCTTTTAATTTTTGTCAAGTCTATGCCCGCCCCGAGACCCGCGACGGGTTGAATTTTCATATCCAACCCCGCCCCGTTAGGAAATACTGTGCCCCCGTGCCCGCCCCACTAACAAATTTTTTTCTCCCACTTTTTGGAACTTAAACTCCTGCTATTTAAATGTGCAAAGCCTAGGAATGACACAACATAAATAAAATTATGTATTCTAACAAAAATAAAAAAAATAACATGCACATAACATAATTCAAATAACATAATAAACAAAAATAAAAATTTAATACAACCAAATCACAAGAAGTTCTAAGCTCCAACTTCCACCATAACCAAAACAAAAGCAAATTTAATACCAAGTTTACATCCCAAATTAGGATTGTAAGAGATGGGTTGGGTAAGCCGCTAAAATAACTTATTAATATATATATATATATATATATATATATATATATATATATATATTAAATATAGTTATATGCGGGGCGGGGCGGGGCGGGGCCCCTAGGATATGTATATTGAACCCTTACCCACCCCGTGACCCTCGACGGGTACAAAATTTGTATCCATGTCCGCCCCAACGGTATAATAAGTGTTCCCATATCCGTTATTAACGGGGCGGAACGGGGCGGGGCGGTAAAAATTGACATCCCTAACCATATTAGTTGACTAGGACAAAAGTGTTGGGAGGATAAACTTTTTTTATAAATAAAAAAATAAATAACTATATCATGCACAGTAGATTTTTTTTTTTTTTTTTTAGAGCACGTGTATCGGCTTCACAACATACATATAATTCAAGTCAGGAGTGTAATTCAAAAGAGACCTCAAAGATTTATCTCCCAAATGTCTGCCAACGCTACCATATCCCCTAAGGCACACAGTAAAAATTATTTAATCTCCTTGATTTGATGAAGTCATATGAAACCATCTTATCCGATAAATTAAGTTCCATAGTCTCTTTGGGGACATCTATGTGTAAGACATATGCTAGCAACAATGCGGGCCTCTTTTTATAAAGTATTGGAACACTTGAAATGGAAAAGTTGATTTGTTTGTGAAATATACGAGACAATGCATCAACAATTTTTTATTTCTGAATAATATATAGACTCAAATCCTATCATGAACACTTATATATTGTACTTTTTAATATAATTAAATCGAAAATGTAATGACTATGTTACTGTGTTACAGTAATCATATAATGTCCTCAATTTAACGTGACATTAATTGTTTGTAAATGGTGGGTATAAAAAATAATAATAAGAAGAAAATGTAGAGTGATTGACACATTAGCACAAACAAAAGGACAATTTGGTTAAACATTAACAACTACGTATTTGATTATAGAGGTAATTAATTAATTAAACCTGATTAAACTTTAACAATTATAGTGTTAATTAACTGATCAATTAACTAATGAAGGTGATTAGTAATTAAACCCAGAGCTGGAATGTGCTACTACTGGGCCCACTTTAATGGGTTGATGTGCTTGACACGTAGACGTGGCGTCAACTCGCCAGCTAGGCAATTGGTGTAAGAATGCCAACGAGGACAGCTCAGCGCGGTTTGTTGTTTGGGTTCGGCCAAGTTTGTGTTTGGCAAATCGGCTTTGCAAGGAATAAAAAACGACAAATTCTATTATACATCATGTTTCTAATATATAATTATATATACACACATGGTCACGCAGTGAGTGTCAGTTTTAATTAACGAATAAGGGAAATATCTGCATACTGCACTCTAAACCAGAGTCTGGTAGCCCTACTCATTTTTTAAAAGTAATAATAGTAAAAGAATCCCATTCATTTGCACCTTGTAGTAGTCCAGAAATTGTTCAATCCAGACTTTTCAATTAAGAAAATAGTTTTATAAGAATTTATTAATATATTAAAAAAAAAAATTATAATATTAGTTTTCATTTGATTAGTCCATCAAGTATTAAATGATCTAAACCATCTAATAATTTGTAGCAGTGATCAATTCAGTTTACATCAATTTATATAATCCTATAGGTTTTGAAAACATCGAACCGGTTTTGAAGACATTGAACTGAATTTTTTTCAATTCAAATTCCAAAGCCATTTGGTGCTCGCAAACATATATATATATATGTGGATTATGGACACACACTAATAGAATTTTTTTCCCGATAATCAGAATGTCGGGGGCTTTGTCACTACTAATCTGCGGAACCCGTGCAAAACGACCCATTTACACGAATTAGGTAAAGCTC